AGAGTGCGAGGCCTTTTTTGAGCAGTGCCTAAAATCTTCTCCGTTTTTTCTTTGAATGATTTCTTATTTTTGAAGGGACGCGGTCTACAAAATTCCCGGTTTATTTATAGTTACGATTTGAATTGAAACATTTCTACTTCGCGATTGCCGCGTTTTTCTCGCCTGTCACTTTATTTAAACAGCCTAACACAAACAGATCTCAAAGCTCAATTATCAATGCCTTTCTCCTTCGAACACTACTATGGCTTAACCTTTCTTCGCGTAAACTTTTAACAAATACAAAGAATGTGAAACTGCCGTTAGCAATGGAAGTCTGGTTTCCTTACCTGCCCAGTTAGCTCCAGCTGCAGCATGCAAATCAATCGGTGGTGCAATGATATATGGCCAAAGGATGTTATACACTGCCAAACCTACTTTGTACAACAAATAACCCAAGGCACAGTAACCAGCGCCCACAAGCAGGAAGTCGCCAGACATCCTATCTAAACAGAGGTTTTCTAAGGGTGGAAACTTGGGTTATATAGATATTAAAGGATAAGAATGTCACGGTATAGTGAAGTAAATCTAGGAACAAACAAGCTTCAAAAATATCAAGAACTCATTTATCTCACTACAAGACACAGCATATGAACGGATAGGCCATGGGGTGCAATGCCGAAGTGATAAAAAGAGGATGGGAGCGATGAACGCTGCGTTATCAGTTACACCACGCAACAGGTCAGAGAAAACAGAATGGCCTGATAGCACGCCACGATCCCTCCCTCACTTCACATAGCCTGTTCCTAAATGGCGGTAATCGTTGAAAGGACAGTTCGGGGTACAATGTCCTTGGACTTCGCCACTAACACAAATTAGCTTAGGATGAAAAAATTACCAAAGACGTGATACACATTTAAAATTGTAATGATTTTATATAATTTCTGTTTACTCGAGCTACAACAGTGCATTAATTAGTAGTTATAGTAAATGTAAAGTCAAATCAACAGCATTAATAGATGTGGCCAGGAAAAATTGTGGGTACGACGAAATAGATGCTATGATGAAGCGAAAAACGAAAAATGGGCAAGCGAAGCCTCAATCAAGATCCATCTCATCCTCTTCTGTTTTGCCACGTTTCGGTTCCGGCTCTTTGACCTCGTCCTTTTCTCCTTCGGCTGCTGTCTCAGTGCTTGCGCTTGCACCAGGTTGAGCGTCCGTTTTAGGTTTTTCATCACCACGTTCGGCTTCGGTCAATTTTTTCGCAAATTCCAGCAAATCTGAAATGAAACTGAAAATTTTATGGGAAAAAGTGCACACACAAATGATGTGACTGACGAGTTAGATGGCCATACTAGGCTCGTATGCACGTGCAACCGCGTTAGGAAGGAGGTGATCAAAACAAATCCAGTAATGATAGTTTTTCAAAGCT